CTGCCAGCCCGGCGCCTCATTTGTGTAATTTCGGCCGGTGAGCCGCCAACGCCGCACCGCTCGGCGCACTAAGCTATTGGGGACGCTGCTGACGGAGGCGACGAAGCGCTCACCGGCCCGCCAGCAGGGCGGCGGCGGCGGCGGCGGCGGTAGCGGGGGAAGGTGATGGTGCGCAGCTCTGATAACGCACCGCCGCGCCGCCGTCAGCCGCCGGGTCGAGAACGGATGGTGGTTTCCGAGCGGGTAGTTAGTTGGCTCCGCTGGAGACGGCGGTATGGTGAAATGTGCGGCGAAATTTAATGAGCTCGACTTCGCTGAAAGCGCTACCCTTGAGAGCTGGTTTATGAGGGCAACTAGTCATAAATGCCAGTCCTTATGGCTCACTTATGTAACCAGTTGACCAAATTTAACAGAATGCCAATTATTATTGATGAATTTGTTCCACCCAACTTGCCACCAATCAGTCAGTTAGGCGTTTCGTTTATCTCGTCGTATTTAGCCCATTTTTAGGCCATCGCCATTGAGCTTCCTTTGCAGACGTGTGCCGCTCACTCCCTTCCTCTTTCTCCTCGTCTCAATCCTTCTCTTCTCCTCTTCCTTCTTTTTTCTTTGTATTCTTTTTCCATCTTCTCCAGTCCTGTTCTTCTCCCCTTTCCTTTCTCCTCCCAGTCTCACCATCTCTCCCGTCTCCTCCTTCCCTTTCCGTCCACCCGTGCTCTCTCCTAGGCTTCTCTGACGTCACTGCCATCGGGTCGTGTTTGCATAATCGTCGCCCGTCCGAGCGGCCCGTCAAACAGACTCGCTCGGCTGGAAGGTGGCGCCCGTACGCCCCGGAGGGTCTGAAAAGATGCCGCTGGACGAGACGCCCGACGGCGGAGACTCGGAGGCCGGGGCGGAGAGGAGAGCGGTTCAGACATTTGGAGCCTGAGAGGAGATTTGCGGCTTTGGAGAGTAGACTTTGTGGTGAAGGAGGAAGTAGTGAATGGGTGTGGTGGTGGAGGAAGTAAAACTCACCGGATTAGGGTGCGAAGAGTGTGGGCGGAAATGAGAGGAAGCTGGAGAAAATACGGAGGCTTAACAGAAAAATAGAAAAGAAATAGAGAAAAAGAGTACCCAGTGAATGCCGCGCGGAAGTATCGTGCAGCCCATAAAGGATGCTATCGTGTATTGTTCCGACCGTATGGCTTGTTGTTCAGGGAAGCTGTCATCAGGAGGCTACTGATGGAGCTGGGAGCGTGGCCGACGCATCGCATGTGCCGTCATTGACTCTGGCCGGTCATCAGTTGGGGTCACGCAGCGGGTGGACGATGTGCGCCCCGGGTCGGATGATGGGTGCCCCGGATCGGATGATGGGTGCCCATGGTCGGATGATGTGCGCCGGTGGTCGGATGGCTTTGTGTCTGTCCATCAAACGCCACATGCGAACGGTCACTGATGTGCGTCGGAGGATGGCCGGGGCCGCACCAGTGGGTCATTGCATAGGATAGCATTTCCCAGAAGTGATGTGTGGGATACTAGCGTCTAGCAGTGAGCGCATTCCTTCAAATTACGATAATATAGTAGATCGCGACGCATGATTCGTTTTCGAGAACTTTGCTGAAACTACGTTGCTTGCTAACAAATGCACGTACCAAGTTAGGCCTGTTTGAGAGGTCGCTGACCGCGTGGTGGCCTGGTAACAAATTGCCCGTACGGAGATACCCGTGCTGAGTTCACTGACCGTCTGTAAGCTATCCAGACACTGCTCAGAGGGCGGCGAGTCTGCTGTGGTGCGGCGGTCTCATCCCGCCCAGCAGACCGTGAGGTGGGGCCGGTGTGACCTGGGTCGGATTAACTGCTGTTCGGACAGTGTGTGTGGATCTGCACGGTCACTGCCTCCAGAGAGAACCACATGGTAACCTCGCACGGCAACGGCGGTGGTAACTGCCGTGGCAACCGAACGGTGGTGGCTACCAGTAGCGGGATATAGACGACTGATCAGACCAAGATCAGCCACGGCTGGGACAGATGTGTGCTCGAAATAGGGGCCTGGTGACGGTCGCGGCCGTAGCTGGGTCATCCGAAGGTGTAACTCGCAAAGAAACTGGTTGCCAGCGCCGGGAGTGTTAGGTACCAACCGCGTCTTATCTGGCATGGCCAGAAGGTGATTGGGTCGAACGAAACGCGCTCTGCCGTGGAGATTTTCAGCAGCTTTGCCTGATATAGCTTCCGCGAAAATCATCGGGGGTTTCTTCCATGCTTTGATTGGATTTGCAATGCTTTTTTTTTTTGCTTTCCATGTTTGATGCTGATCATGGTGGAATTGATACGCATTTCATTTATTGCCCTTATGCACAATATGTAATATGTATATTAGCTTTCCACTCCCGATGCCGACGTTTTAGGCCGTCCTGCATTGGTCCCATCGGTGATCATTGCACCATTTTATCTCATGTTAAATACTCTCTCGTATAACCCAATATTTTTGGAAGCAATTGACATCAACGGATAGGTGGCTTCCATTGTTTTTCTTTTGAATTGCAATCATACTGTTGAACGTGATCATTGCATCTAAAAGTATTCAAGCGTTCAGTTTTGTCTTCAAGCTCAAAACACTTTCTCCTGAAGACCTAAGCCACAGTCTGGTGTGGTTATCCTGGGAGCCTACGGGCATCTGTGTTGGACAATGTGACCCGTCCTCCACTCTTCTTATGAATGCCTAACGACCACCGCACGGGCCTGGCGAGGGAGGGGCGTCTGGCTCAATCGATTGCCATACTGAATAACGTGTCGCGGACACTCTGCCCCCTCTCTCTCGGGCGTCGCTTTCGTCCGGCATCTTTTCCTGGAAATACTCCTCAGCGGCGCTGCCACTGACACATAATGGTGGGCAGAAATAAGGAATGGCGCCGACCACCGACGGCCGCCGCCCCCCGGGGCCCATCTGTCGCGGCAAGGTCGTTTACCTGTTGCTGGGTGGTTTTCGGGAGGCCGGGTGCGCGGGTCAGTGCGCTATTTGGGCGGTATTTTGATGGATGATCAGTCGTCCAGCCATCATGCGTAGGTCGCATTCGTCTTATTGGTCCATAGTAACAACTTAGTCATTTATTTTTTACTGAAAGTTAATTATTTCTGGAAAATGACAAGGTACCTAAAGCCACCCATTCAACCATTCGGACAAAATTTCTTTTAAAAAAATACCGTTATAATCAACACAAATATTTTTCTTCTGAGTTTCGTCTCTACTCTTTACACACACATACCAATAACTGTCAGAACATAGAGCACCACATTAATTGCCTCTGTTCTCACCACTTTTGAACACTTACCAACATCCAGCTGCGGACAGTATCCATCAACGTTTATGTAACATACCGCATTGATCTTCGATACCACCGCCACCTCCCGCTGTCACTCCTCTCTCTCTCTCTCTCTCTCTCTCTCTCTCTCTCTCTCTCTCTCTCTCTCTCTCTCTCTCTCTCTCTCTCTCTCTCTCTCTCTCTCTCTCTCTCTCTCTCTCTCTCTCTCTCTCTCTCTCTCTCTCTCTCTCTCTCTCTCTCCGGACCGGCTCGGCGCACCCAATCAGTCAGCTGCTAACGATGCCGTCAGCTGCACCCAATGGCATGAATGCGCCGTTTTTCATCGGCACCGCGCCCTGTATTAATATGGGCGGCCGCGCTGACCAGTGGATGCCGCTTTCGTCCAGTGAGTATCGTCTCTTCTTGTGGAAGGGAGAAGTGACCCTGGTGCAGTGATTAGGGGACGTGACCCTATCGGGAGCAGAAGATACTGAGGAATTGGATCCTTGGGGAACGGTATGGGGGATGTGCTGAGTTCTTGGACGGTGGAGTAGGTGTTTGAGGTCATGGTGACGTGCATTGGACCAAGGCGTGATTCCTTTGCAACGTGACAGACATGCTAGCAAGGATCGTGTTCAAATCTTCTTGGATGGTGAGCACAAAGTAAGGCTGTAACCTTCTATAACTGGTGACACTCTGGTGCAGATGTTTTATCAGTACTTGCCGGCGCCGCCATACGTTCATCTCTCCAACGCTCTCTGTTTAGTGCTCAGGGCTCGATTCCACTCGATAGATCTCGTCTCAGTCACGTCCGTCCGGCCGCCGCCAGAGCCGTGTGCTGCGGCACAGTCTATCCGTCAGGCGAGTGTCGTGCGGGACAGTCTACCAGTGCAGTGTCGGAGCGGCGAGCCGGCAAGGCGCGAGGGCGAGGACTCGTTTCTCTTGAGGGTTTGAAGGTGAATACGGGCTTGAAAGCTATTTCACGAACCCGTTTCGCTGGCGGAGAAGTACTTGTGGTTTTTGGCTCTTGAAACATGCTCAACGTATTGCGTAACACCATTATGTGCTATTGATAATGACCTTCGATGATCAAGTGACTTTTGAAGTGACTACCACACTAAGACTGTCACGCGATTAAGTGGTTTTGGCCAAAGAAAAACCGATATTTTTTATTTGAAGAATGGCCCTTCTTAGGGCTGTTTTTGATGGTGCCATTTCTGACATGGCTGGTACAAATGGCGTCTTATCTATTACTCTTTCAACCAAGGAAAGTGCAAACCTTTATTTATGTCGACCGGTGCCCATATAAATCAAGCGAGGTTCTTAGCTGACGCCCAAAGCTGATCCGCTGCCTTTTTAACCCTAAATGACTGGTGTTCACAATCGAAATGAATGCTTTGGGCATTGGGGAAGGTCTCGAATTGTGTTTTTTTTCTTACTAAGTCTCAATAGATAGCTTTGATAATTCCTTCGTTCATTATTTAACGATCTGAGACGCAAGCTTCTCTTTCTTTTTATAGAAGCATGCGCCTGAGGGAAACTTATTAGATGCGTGCATGGTTTAAAAGGCGCATCATCTCGCAAACGCTTCTAACTTCCTCGGTCTTCATTCAGCTGTTATTTCGCCTATTTTAATTTTAGATTCCAACTTCAGTGTTTTTAAGTTTTGTCGGTTTCGATAACGTCTTCTCCATGTCATGACTCGTTTCTCTGCCGTTGCAGGTTCTTGCTGTCTGACCGAAAGGCCACTCAGAGTACCATGGCTGACTCGCGGAGACGGCTGTTTTCGATACTGTGACGCGTACCGAGTCACTGAAGTTCAGCTGTGACTCCCTGAGTCAGTGGACTCGTGATTCGTGACTCGGCCCTGCCAGACCGACCCTCCGTTGAAACATGAACTGGTAAGGATCGTAGGGATCGGCTCTGACTTCTGATGGAAAGGGTTTTGGGTTGATAGGACTTAACTGTGACCATATGGGTACATGCTACATACCTTACATATGCTTTGAAAGAAGTCCTCAACTGAAATATCATATCGTGATATCTGTACTGCGCTAAACGCTGCTCTTTCCATCCTTGCATTGTGACTCGCTGTGGACCAGTTATTAATGCATTTGCCTCCTTATCTGTAAATTGCCTTTGGATACACCGGATATAAGGTCATCAAGACATGAAAGGGATGCGGATTAATGGATACGGACATCATCGCCATCAAATAATTAATATAAACTCAATCGGATAACGTGACTCTCAAATAGTGTTCCGAGAATCTGGCATATGTCCCGTTATCATTGGTCATTTCCGTAACAGTGCAAGGGACGACCAGGATTCAGTTGTTCCTAACTGACTGAATGGGAGGCGGGCACCTCTCAGGGCATCACATTGTCAGGGGCATTACAAGGCATTACAAATTATCAGCCATCACATTATAACTACATACATTTGTAATTAGTCGGGGGACGCTGTTTGCCATCAGAATAATCTGGGGTACGAGTAAACACGTTTTCTTTGTGAGTTCTTTTCTTCAATCATTCTAAGTTTTATTTCGTTTGTTTTGTGTAGGTAGTGCGCGCTCTTTTATGTATTGTGGACTAGGGGCTTACCTAAGCTTACGAACTTCTGAGATGTTTTCCAGTGGCTCTTATTTTACAGCTCACTTTATTATGTACCTGTTGCCTCGGAGAAGGGAGTGAGGATGTAATTGGACTGGGGTGCGGCATACTGCGCCACTCGTGGCGCGTCTGAGACAGTGGCTCAGAGCGTGCCACCGCCGCAACTGCGCCGCAAAGGCAGGCTCATTACCGGTGGCAATAATGTGGTCGGTGCTCACCGCTGCGAAGAACGCATCCCGGAGCTCTGAGACAAAATTGGACTGCTTGTTACGTTGTAATTGAACGATTGCTTCGTTTTAATTAAATGACTTTCTTCGAATGTTTGTATTCTGCATAAAGTTCATTCGGCATCATTTCACCAGCCAATGCTCATATTTCACAAGATTTCGTTGTAACTTTCGATTTTCCGTGATGTACTACGGCGTGCGCTTTACTTGACCTTTTGTTTTGGCCGTTGAAACCCCATGCGATCGAGATTTATATTTCAGACCAAAGCGCCAGAATGGTGTTCCGATCTGCGTGGTGTATTGCGAGGGATGCCCTTGGGATGCTTTGGCCCGGTCTTGTGCTTGGAGTGAGATAGCAAACATCTGGATCACAAAATGACCTCCGGAACATCGGCGCGAGTTTTAGACGCAGACGGAAAGTTACGCGATGTCGGGCGACTTCGGGACAATGCCTGGAAAATTATCTTTGTGAACGAACTTGGCGGCTGGGACGAAACTTGCGGCAACTTTGAGACGTTAAATGTTAACAGCGTTATGTATCAGCAAACTTTTTGTACGAACGTCACTCGCCTTCGATTAGTGTTCTTTGGTCGCTTGCGAACTCGTAAATAAGCGAAGTTGGAATCGAAAGATGGTTATCATTGATGTAGAACTACAGCTTGCTTCCAGCTGAAGCTCATTTTTTTTGTGAGAGACTTTTTCTCTTATAATTTTGTTTCCTTTCTTGTTCAGTTATAAGTAGTTTATTTCTAATCATATTTATTACATTATGATCTTTTCTAGTGTTTTTATTTTGAGTTTGTTTTCAGCTACATTTTTCTGTTGTTTTTGTAGGTGCGGGGCCGCAGCTGGGAGACGGCTCGCTCATCTGTCATTGTTTTCTCCTCAGGGCCAGCCTGTCTGACAGCAGGGCTCTCGGGGGGAGGGAACAGGGCAGGGTGGGACGTTTGCCGCTGTGTCTGGGTGGCCATTATAGATTGGAGCCATAACCAGAAGGGCATTATGGTGAAACCAGTGGGTCCGTAAAAATTGGTTCCTTATTGCAAACATGATTTGAAATTAAACAGATTTCACGATTGTAGCCGGAAGCCGATAGAGCTACTTTAGACCTTTAAACCCAATCGGTTAACAAGGGCCCCGTACCAGAAGTCTGTCTCTATCATCTTCGCAGTTCTACATTGCTCTACGCTTCACTCTGAATGCTTGAGTGCCTGTCCGTCTGTCTGGCTAACCGTCCACCTGTCTAAGTGTCTTGACTGACCGTTCACAGGTAGGTACGCCGGGTGATCAGTCACCCTTACCCGTGTCCGCAGTCCTACCCTGCTCTAACCCCGCCGTCTGTATGTCTGTCTCCAGGTACGTTCGTCTGCTGGCCAGCCACCCTTACCTACCGGCAGTTCTCCCCTGCTCTAACCCTGCCGTCTGTATGTCTGTCTGCAGGTACGTTCGTCTGCTGGCCAGCCACCCGTACCTGGTCATTCTGGCCGTGGCGGCTGCCACGGGAGCCTGCATCACCGTGGTGTTCACCAGTCGACCGCTGCCAGACTTCGCCGACCCCATGCTGGTTAGTGAAGGGTGATACAGAGGGACGGTCCCTGTCGCATTTCTCCGACTCAATGCTGCTGGGTAATTCTTGCTGATGCTATGGTCCGGTCAGAGATTCATCTGACCCCATACTGGTTAGTGGGGATGTCTGAAGGATGATGTGGGTCTGGAGAACAGTCATTACCTGATTTATCCAACCCTATGTTGCTTAGTAAGGGGGTGTCTGAGGATGTCTGAGCAGTGAGCACTGCGGCCTTCTGAACTGGTCTAAAGACTGTCTAAGGAGAGGCGATGTGTACACTTTCCGATTTTTTTTTCTTTTACACGCAAGTCAATGGGCTGTCTGAGACGGTGAATTGTGATGCGGACAAAGGGCGGCTCTGTGCTGTTTAGACAGTCTGAGACGGGTCTGAGAGGATGGAATGGGTATCAGGTGACCCACGTGATGCCGCCACAGGACATACCATATTTCCCGCTGTGAACGTGCGCATTGAATTCCAAAGTTCTCCGGCGCTGTTTCCAAATTGTCTGTCGCTCCGTTTGACCTCAAAGGAACAATATCTGCCAAGTGGATCACCTTGGTATGTCCTGCCCTTTTATTGCATTGCCGGCATTTCAAATTATCTTTTTAAACAGGCCGTCGCCTATTTTAGTCATTTCATTGTCTTATGCGGGATGTTTGCCCGCACATCCTGTTGTCACCTCAGTGCAGCGCTATTCTCGTCTCGCGGCTCACCCTGGCGACCTTAATACCGCTCCTCAGCAGCACACTAATAACGTCGCTTTGTGCTGCCACAACACCCCGCCTGAGGTGATCACCTTGCCGCTCTGACGTTAGACCATTAATAACGAGCTGCAGAGAGGTGAGCTTAGTCTTCATCTCTCCACTCCGGGGTCACGGACCCGGAATTTGCCAGCGCACGGGTGCTGAATTCTGTATACTCAGTGCTCACACGTGAACGAGCAGTACGGTACTCGTGGGATTGTGTTATATTTGTTCAAAAGGAATTCCAGATGATATCAATCGTGGAGTATCAAACATTGGAATAGATTGGCTACGAGCGCTGAACTGAACTCGAATTGAATTGCTTTTCACTAGTCGGTGAAGTTTGCAAATGGCCAGTTACGTATGCCAGTTACCTTATATAAGGTTCGGGATTTGTAGATGAAAGGCTCACCTTTCTAAGGCTCGGAGAAACTATTAAAGTTTTAGATAAATGTTCCTCAACCTAGCCTATTTTTGTCCCGAGTCCCTGATGGACACGTCAGATGGCGCTGTTTATCAAGGACATCTCTTTGAAACAACTATGCGAGTGTCAAACTTTCAGTCTCTGTCCAGATGTTAATTAGATCGGTCTGCTAGACTCCAATATCTTCCAAGATTTGTCCCTAAAGCCACTTCGCGTCTGATAGGGCGAGATATTGGAAGCGAATCGACACACGTATTCAAAGCCCCCTAAACTTAATAACGGCTGACTCCTAGCAGCACGCATTTGACCGCTTGACTGGTGGCACGTGTCAGTCCGCACGTGTGTGTACGACACGTATCTGATGGCCTTGTCTGTGGTGTGGGATGTGTCGGCGTTGGCGAAATGTGCTTGTTTTTGCGTGTTTGTATCTCACTACGCAAGTGTGCGTGTCAGATCGTACGTGGATGCGTGTTTGACCGTCCTCTGTACGTGTGTGGCGTTATATTGGTAACGCGTGTGTGCGTGTGATGTGTTTTGTGACTGAGGGGGAAATATGTTTACCCGTGTCCAGCCTCCCCCAGTGACCCCCTGACCCCACCGTCCGTCAGGGTTTCGAGACGCGCGGCACGGAGCTCTCTCAGCGACTGTCGGCGTGGAACAACCTGCAGAAGGCGGCGCAGGCGGGCGGCCCGCTCACCAACAACCCCAGCATGGAGCCGGACTCGCCGCACTTCTGGATGGGCCCGGCCGCCGCGCCCGTGGCCCAGCCCTCCGCGTCACCGCCGCCCCAGGCCCAGGTAAGAGGAGGGCGGACGGGCAGTCGGAATATGCAGTGTGCTGTGCTGATTTCGGTGTGTGTGTGGGGGGGGGGGGGACAGGGTCGAGCTTGAGGTAGATAAGGATGGCTAGGGTTAACCCTCTTATCTTGCTCTTACCATCCAACTTACATAGTGCGGAGGAGAACCACCACTCGGAGAGAAAAGCCGAGCACTTACATCCTAGTTACCTATTTGGTATTTGGATACTTAGAGCTGGAAGCAGGTCATGAGAAAATCGAGGATTTTACACGACCAACCTTGTACCTAATCCACAGCCAAACGGTCTATTGGCAACTCACTTGGATAACACGGCACTGATTAGTTTCTTTGATCCGCACATCCGCGGCTATCGTCCCGTATAAAATCCCCTCGGGTGGTTCCTGGACCGCGGCCTGTCGCCGCCCGGGCCGCGCTGCCCGTCGCTCCGTCGGGGGCCGCTCGGTGCCGTGTTGGCGGCCACCGAGTTCCAGGAACTGTCATCAGTGCGGCCGGCTGTCAGGCAGCGCCCAGAGGGGCCACCGGCGGCGTCTCGGCGCGCTGACAGATGACCAATTCGACGAGACGTGACCGAAGACAGCGGCCGACGCGACGAGTTTTGATTGGGGCTGCGCGATAGCCGGCCCTGCTGACGGCTGGTTGAGCCAGTTGTAGGAGTTCTGGTTTGACAACCGCAACTTGTAACAAGCTTGAGTCTTTGTGTTTTGAAAGTGGAATATTTGATGAGTACTACTTCGCTACTTCTTCGCTTCGCTCGTACAACACCGGGCATTTGAATGGTCCCAAACCTTTTCCGCTCTCGTAAATCTCCCTCAGCACACTGTCAATATTTCACACGACTACCATTTGCAGCTGCCGATAGCCCAGTGTCTGCTCTGACCTGCCCGTCACCCGGGAGGACGGAGCTGACCTCCTAACCTTCAGCCACATGTGTGCTTCCCACGGCGGCCTCAGACGGAGCGCAGCGGCCGCCGCGCTCCCCACGCGCCGACGCTGCCCGAACGGCCGCGGGGCGGGGTCGATTCTGACCGCCGCAGACGGAGACGGCACCACTCCGCGGCGGCTCCGATATACGGGAGCTTACGTAGGTCCGGCTCTGATATACGGGAGCTTACGTAGGTCCGGCTCCGATATATGTATGAGAGCTGCTGAGTTCTTCTCCGCTCCTGTTCCGATACACATACGAGAGTTTACATTGGTCCGACTCCTCTGCCCTGATATACATGAGCCGCTGGGAGCCACTACCAGCCCGGCTCCGCAGCTCCTCCTACCGAATTCAGCTCCGCTACTGTTCCGAATTACAATATACATTAATTACTTGGTGCTTCTGTCTGAGCCTGGCGCCAAACTAATACCGATCATACTGATGGCGTAATATCGCCGTGAATACTGATGTTGATACTGATGTGGTCGCTGAAGCTGGGGAGTTGTTCTGATCCTGACGCGGGGATATTGATTCGCTGACACGGATATTGGCGCTGAGCTCCGCGCTGACTCCAGCGCTGGTCGGGGATGAGACATGGGCTCTCGCGCCGCTGCTGATATTGGGTGATTTTGGCACATTGACCTCAGGGGTCCAACTGCTACTGGTACCTGGGGTTCCCCATTGGCAATGGTATTCCTATCTGGTTCGGTTGCAACTGTTGGCTAATTTGGCCACAACCACTTACATTCATTCACGCTGCCACCGCTAGTGTCTCGTCCCTCCCCCTCCCCTCGGGACGTGTACCTCCTATCGTGTCCCCCTCACGTCCATTAGATACGATCTCGTTCCCCGGGGAGGGATCTACGGGCCACACTGTCGGCCGGCCGCTCTATGGCGTCCGGCGCTGGATTAGAGTAGCCGTCGCACGCGGTCATGGCAGAGTATGGTCCTCTTCAGCGGAGTCAATGTGTTACGCTCGTCACTGTTCTTCGGCTTTTCACTATTATAGTCGTCTTCCGTTTTCTTGACATTACTATGGCCGAAACTGGTTTTGTGTTTACATGATTTAGATAATTACATGCATAATAAGTAGGTACACTGATTCCTTGCTTGCTGGTGGTTTGCGGGAAACAACCGTCCTATTTGCATCTAGCGGTAATGATTACCTACCACTGGTTAGGGCCACTGTGGTTGGCCGCTTAGCCGTGGTTAACGGCTAACTGAGATTGATAAAAGACCTTTAGTCGTTATATCATAGCGCTACTTAGTGTGTTCGTGCTCGCTTGCGTCTTTGGTGAAGGGCATTTTAGCTTGGACTTTGGAGTCGGTTATGTACATAATGCATAAGGAACTGGATGTGTTTACGATAAAAGCCCTTGCTTGCTTTGATGCGCGGGCCTTTAAATGAGAGACTTTGTGTTAAGGAACTCGTTAGTCGTTTGAACGTTACACAGGCGGCTACTTCAAAGCCGACTTTCGTCTGTTCAGAAGGTCCTTAAGATTATGTACAGTTCGGCTTGGTACTTATAAAGCGAGTTAAGTCACAGACCGTTATTTTCCAACGTTGGGATGGTTTTGATAAAGATGCTTTTCCCATCGAAAGTAATTACTTTAAGATACGTATCCCCTGAGAAAGCTTTGTCATGCTTTGTCGTGCTTTTCCGATCTCAGATAATTTCTGTGTTCGTTGCAAGTCGGTATGGGAACCCGGTGTATCCATATTGATTTAAGCTTAGCCTTGCCAATGTCTTTTGATATAGCGTCGTAAATGCTAGTGTGGGCAGTGCTGGCCGTTTCATCTGCTCCTTGATCGTGACCATCACAATGCACGTTTGCCATTAGTAATTCTGTGAAGATGCGCTGAACAATAAAAAGTTGCTTGATTTTAATCATCATTTTTCATCATTTTGTACCAAAATGTCGGTAGCTTTTCGCTTTTGTTTTATTTTATCATAGTTCGGAATCATTGTTTCTGAGTAAAAAAAATTCTTCTCAAATAACGTCTAATATTCTGCTCTTCCGTACCCAGGCACTGCTGGCGTCGGAGCCGGGTGGTGCAGTATTCAGCGTCTTGCCTTTTGCCGCAACCTGACCTGACCTGACCTGACCTGACCTGACCTGCCCTCTGCCCCAGGTATTGCTGGCTCCGAAGCCGGGCGGCGCCGAGGCCGCACGCGCCGCTGCCGAGGAGGAGGAATGGCGCGACCTGTCGCAGCTGGGGCTGACCGGCCGGCTGCCGCCCGCTGAGCCCTCGGGCGACGACCGGTCGGAGCAGGGGCGGCGCCAGGAGCCGCAGTCGGGGAGGCCGGCCGGGCGACAGCCACGCCGCGGACCGCTGAGCGGCACGGGATCCACCTGGTTCTGCGGCCCTCTCGGTAAGGGGGGGGGCAGTGAGAGGGGAGGTGGCGGAAGATGGGTAGAGTGGGTGGGGGACTGTGGGTAGTGGTGGAGTGGGTAAAGTGTGTGCTGAAGTGAACTGAGGTTTGCAGGCGCGTCGGTGGTAGGAAAGGCTACGTTTGTTTCGTTATGGTGGAAGGTTTTCTTTCCTTCGACACTGTTCACTCCTTTTTTCAAAACGAAAGTTATTTAGCTCTTTATCGTAGTTGAACACTTGCATCGTGTTTTCCTGTGCGGTCAAGAGAACCGGGAACCCGGCATTGTTCAGTTCTAGAAATTTATCAATCAGATTTGCGGAGCTGCATGAGTGCAAATATGTTTACGGGCTATGTTGGGAGTCTGTTTTGAAAGATCGGTACGGGCCCTCTTAGAATCCCTAGCCTTGAGCGTTCTTATTCACTCAATGCAAGTGAATTCGTTCATTTTCAAACAACACCAAATGTTTGCGAATGCTGAAGAACTGTTATGATGGAAAAATAGGCTGTTAATTGAATTAGTTCTCCAGCAATGTATCAGGCATTGTTTTCAATAAATAGGGCATACCATTGACGACAATATGCTTAAAGTGATAGTTTCTTTAATATGCCTGCATAATGTGCAATTTGCGTATATCTGAGGGAAGCAACAAACTTCAAAACAGGCCAATTAATCGTGTTTTCGGCCGCCGATGGCTCGTCAAAGTTGGCCAACTACCCGCCTTGTTGATGCTGTCAAACGCAGGTCCCGGCTGCAAGCGATGGAGCCGAAAGTATCGCCCCGAAAATATACCGAAATCTCTCGGAAAGCTCGGCCTCCTGATACAGAATTAATGACAGCTGTATTTACGACGCTCTCGGCGCTCAGACTGTAAGCAGCTTGTCCGTCGCCGGATTGATAAATAGTGTGAGGGAGTGAGCTGGAATGGGGACGAGATTGCTGCCGTGTTTCGCCGATGTTTCTTAGATTGGTAGCAGCTGGGTTCAGCTGTGGAGAGGGAATGCTAGGTCCGATGTCGTTATCAGCTTCTGCTAGTCAGCTGTCCTAGTTAATGATAAAGGTATAGTTTACGGAAAAGGACAGTAATGCCTTGTTCCTTAGGTTTGTAGTTGAATTTTGTTGCGATGCTAAGGTACTGTCATGTGACGATTATAATGTGTTACTTGTGTCTTCTCTCGTGGGACTTTCTGGAACATCTTGCGTCCGATGCGTGGGGTGAAGCGGGGAGAACTTTCTAACTCTTGGTTGATTTTCAATAACGAAAAAAGCTTCGTTAGATATCTTAGAAACTATAAATTTATAGCTCTCCAAACCTTGCCCTATCAATTATTGTCTCCCTTTGCATGCCATCTACCGCGGTATTCTGCGCACCCTCCCATCACCAAATGCCAGAAAGGTCACCGAATTATCTCCACGTAATGCCACCTTGTCATCGCCCTCGTCCCGGCCCAAGAAACCCACATCTATCCCAGGTAGGGACACTGGGCGCGACCAACCGCGGAACCGCCGGAGGCTGCGGACGCTTTGCCGACGGGTCCTGCCGCCATCAGGTGTCTGCTGTGTCCGAGAAAGGTCATTAGGGCTGGCGACAGGCCGTGCTGCCGGCTCTGGGCCTTCGAGGAACGGCCGGCGGCGGTCCGGGCCTCAGCTGCTTTTGACACGGCCCCGTTCAGGTGGGAGGGACGGGGCGGTTACCATGACAACAGACCAGCTTCCGTGCGGCAGCCCTGGGCGGCACGGTGGTCCGCTGTAGGCAGTCAGTAGCTCACGGCGATCGTTGCGGCTGTCAGTTGCAGCGTGATGAGGTATTCAGACGGCTGACTGACTACGCTGGATCGACACTACCGCTTCTGCATGAGCCGAAACCGGATGAACAGACCGAACTTGTATCTGAATGTCGCTCAGGCGTCCGTCTGATGGCAGATCAATGTCAGAACTTTTTATGTTATTACGTCGGGTGATGTGATGGCCCCGGCATCTTGATGAGCTCAGCGAAAATGACATAACTTTTCGCTCGATATGGGCCCCGCCGTCGGTTAACCCTCGCCCGCACGCACATGCCATTTTCCCATCCTAGAACGCACATGGGGGGGGGGGGGTGGTTGCCACCCCCCCGCGCCATTTCGTTCCTGTTGGAGATAGAGCTTAGCAGTAAAGACCAAAAAGATTCTTTGGGAAGAGACGAATCCAATGATACCCAGTTTTACCTTCTCAGGTCAGTCATTGACCTTCCAGGTCAGGTCAAACTAAAAAATGTTGCTGTTTTGGGTCACCGTTGGATATCAAGTGTGCTGATTATCAAATACCGATGACGATGCTGTTTTCTGGTGCCAAGCCAGCTAGAACCTCTTTGTCACACTACCCGACCAGAACTTTGCTGCTGAGGTCATTTCAGGTCAAGTTAGGTCAAGGTCAATTATATGTGTTTGTATGTCTGTGTGTGTCTGTGTGTATACTGATGTGTGCACCGATTGTTTTTGGGTCCATATTACATGAAATCATGATCTGAGAAGCTTTTACCAAAAATGCAGTCAAAAAACTTCAAAAAAAGTAAATTCAGCTTGCCTAAAACGCAATTATCTTAGGTGACCTAGGTTGACCTTGACCCTGACCTTGACCCCTGTACATCGTCAAACAACATGTTCCATGATAGGTAGGAGGTAAGACTGGCAAAAAAGGCCGAAATCAGGGTGTCAAAAGCTCATAAGGCCCATGGCAAACGCAAGATGTTGAGAATTGGCCATTTGGGTCATGACATGACCTGAAAAACAAGGTCATATCTCCGAAACCAAAAATCACAGAAACTTGAAATTTTCAGTGGACATCACGAAAGGATAGAGGAGCAGCTATACGAAAAATCAGCCTTCTAGCTCTAAAAATGTTGAGTGCAGAGCAGAAAGACTGCCTGGGGGGGGTGGCAACCACCCCCCCCCCCCATGTGCGGGCGAGGGTTAATGGCCGTTAAACCGGTGTCGGCACGGGGCGGCCGCCGGCCGTCACAACTCGGCGGGGCTGTCAGACGTGGGAGCGCTCTGACGACCTCAGACGGCTCGGGAGCGGCGGGGGACGGTCTGAGACGCAGTTGACGGCACACTGGACATTGATCTCGGGGGCTTTGCGGTCTGTTTTTGGCTACAGACTGGCAGGCGATGGTCGGCCTTTATCCGTCGTCCGTCGCGGCTCGGTGCTTTTACGACGTACTGACGGAGTGACGGGCGGCTGCGATGTTTGTCAAATGTGGCTGATGGAGGATCGGAGCTGCCTGTGACAACTGGACCTTTTAGCGTTCGTGAACGGTGGTTGCATCATTCCTTTCTTAGTGATCATCCATAACAGCCCGCAGTCCTGTCTTTATCCTGGCAACTATTTGTTCTTATGTTACCTCTGTCAATTTCTTTGACCACATTGCTGCTTGTTAATCAACTCCATCAACTGACAGGTATCTCTTTCTCTTCCAGTCCAGGAGTACGGTCACGCGGTGTTCGCGCCGGCCCCGGGAGCCGCCGCGTCCGCCGACTCCGGTCCGGGCTCGGGTCTGTTCCAGCTGGACAGCATCCGCTCCATGTGTGCCGTGGAGGAGCGTCACTTTCACACGGAGGCCTTTCCCGACTTCTGCCAGGTGAGACGACGTGTATCTACCAAATACGGCACATACGCTGTGTGCGCGTCTCATCTATCTCGATGTTTTATGTCTCCGTCTATCTTTGTCCCAGTTAATCTGTTTCTGTGTATGTATCCCCCTCATTGCTTCCCCTCTTACTTCCTTTATTTGTCATTCCCTCATTTATTTCCTCATCACTCTCACCTTCTTTTCTCTAGCCCTCTAGGCCTCTTTCTCTCCTTCTCTTTCCCCGTCTCCCTTTATGTGCTCCTGCTATTTTTGAATTTCTATTTATTGCTCTCTTTTTGCTCACTTTATCTCTCGCCCGGCTGTCACGCTTTATCCAGCCTTGCGGCGCAAAAGAAGTTGGATGAATGTGTCCAGAGCATGCAATTCAACAGTCATTTGAGGAGTGATCTATCAAAGGAAACTCCCATATTTCTCGAAGCTTCATATCTCGGCCACATTTCTGTTCTGTCCCCACGGAATTAACTCGTGGAACGTGACGAATGTCCAGACACTAGAGATGAATCACTCCTTCACACTAAGATACATTGTTTGTAGTTTACGCTGCGTGTGTCGTTTCTGACTCGTGTTTCTGGTGTGGTTAGATTGACGACGCCACCCAGCGCTGCTGCCGCTCGTGGTCGCTGGGAAACTACATAGCGCTGCTCTACAACCGCTCCGACTGCCTGGCCATAAAGGTGAGACGCTCGGCTCGGGTGGAGGGGGCTGAGAGGTAGCGGGGTGTCGGGGACACGGAGGAGGGTGGCTGCTGTGTATAGATAATTATAGTTGAAAGCTGAATAACGAGTGTTCAACTCGTGAGTGAATGTTGCAACTGGTGTTTTCTGTTCCGTTAAAGGCAAGTGATCAAAAGTTTGAGTCGTAAGTGTTCTCCAGATTGGTCACACCAAATTCGTACGAGTTTATCGAGCAGAGTGCTTCTAAATAACCGGCATTCTTTATCACATAGCTTATGCATCTGGCTCTTCTTTTCTCAATCACAATTACAGTATTGTTCGACACCCACTGACACCCTGTCCCACCTCCCCAGGCGTCGGACGTGTCTGGCACTCTGTCCCTGCTCCGCGACTGCGCCCCGTTCTACCACGGCGGCCAGCTGCAGCCGGACTGTTCGGGCCGGCCGTGCCGGGACGTACCCGAGAGGTGTGCACGGCACGACGCGGTCTACCACCTGCTGCACTACATACTGGACAGCCAGTTTCTGCCGCCGCAGGTACGGGGAGAGGGGGAGGGAAGAGAGAGAGAGAGAGAGAGAGAGAGAGAGAGAGAGAGAGAGAGAGAGAGAGGGGGGGGAGATGGAGGGAGGGGACGGGACGGGGAGGGTTAGGGCCTCGGGCAGTGTGAGAGAAAAGGTCGAGTGGCACGCTGTGTGAAATGAGAAGCCGGAGGTGTAGAGAAGTTGAAATTGTGTTTGAAGATGAGTTATGTGAGATTAGGGACACCGAGTACCCACCACCTGTAGGTAATGACTCTGACAGATGAAACTTGAGATGGAGAAAGAGAATACCGAGAGAATTCTGGTTACCTGACATTATTTAAAGTTGTAATCGTCGTAGTACGTGAGGAGCATTTAAACATTGTCGCAAGTGAAGTAATTAACTGTTCCGACTTCTGCGAACAATCACATGATGCTTCATTCCAGCTCAGATGAGCGTAGTTGAGCTTGAGATCCTTTAGCGAGCAATGGGTAGTATGTGCTCGCAATCATTCAGGACGTGGAATGTAATGTAGTGGAATGTACTGTAATGTAATGGAATGTACAGGAGGTGCAATGTAAATAGTCACTGCTGGTGTTATTACCAATCCTCTGATCGGGCCATGATCTACCTATTGTTTGAATGAACGATTGATTTCCTGTTGTTACCGGTAACCAACGATTTATTCACTGTTTTTGCACTACCCTCGTTCCTCACACCAGCCTCCGGTGCCCACAGGACCCTAACCGGGCCCACCTGAGTTACGCGATGACCTACCTGCCGCTGGCCCGGAGCGGTGCCGTGCTGCCCTACTACCGCACTCTGAACACCAGCCTGGCAGACAACAGCACCGCCGTGGTGGCCATGGATCTCGGTCAGTAGGAGAGCTCGTTAGATGGCGGGGTGCAGAGATTGGTTGTGTAAGGGGGCGGGGGGCTATACTCCGATGAGTCTGAGCTCTTTGTGGGGTTTTGAGTGTTTGGGAAGGGATTTACATTGTAAGTGTGAGAAAGAGACTGATTTTTTTAATGAGAGGTTCGTCACACGTCTAAGCGTGTGGATGTTGTGCTTGAGGTCTGAAGAGCGCCCTGGATGACGGCTCGCTGCCCCTGGACACGCAGGTCCGAAGAACGCTCTGTTGACTCCCCCAGGTCTGAAGAGCGCCCTGTCCCTCCTCGACAGGTCTGAAGCACACCCTGTTATAGCACCCTGTTTGTCCCCCAGGTCTGAAGGCCGCGCTGTTTGACGAGTCTCTGCCCTCCCCCCCTCCCTCCCCCCCAGGTCTGAAGGCCGCGCTGTTTGACGAGTCTCTGCCCTCCCCCCCCCCGTCCCTCAGGTCTGAAGGCCGCGCTGTTTGACGAGTCTCTGCGCGAGGACGCCGTGTACGCGGGCGCGGCGGCCGGCTGTATCGTGCTCCTCATCTGGGTCTACACGGGCTCCCTGCTGGTGACCCTGGCCACCCTGGCCGCCGTGGCCATCTCGCTCTGCACGGCCTACTTCGTGTACGCCGTGGTGCTGGAGCTGAGCTTCTTTCCGTTCATGAACCTGCTGGCGGCCATCATAGCCATCGGTGAGTCGGGAGTGAGGGAGTGTGAGTCGGTGGAGTCAGGGATGAGTCGGGAGTGAGGGAGTGTGAGTCGGTGGAGTCAGGGATGAGTCGGGAGTGAGTAGAGGACGAGTCGAGGGCGAGTCGAGGGCGAGTCGGGGCTAGGAGAGAGGTGATGTGGGGTGACGGGAGCGTCTGAAACATAGTGAGACATTTACTTTGTGGTGTGGTGGAATTGGATCGTTGATTATATCGGAAAAATGAAGGAACGATGTCAGACTCGCCTTTGAATTATTCAAGCTGTGTGAATTGCAATCCGACCAATTTTACAGATAGTATGACACAAAGTATAGTCTTTTCTTATTGCTTTGTTATAATCGACATCACTTACTGTAATTTTGCCGCATGATTATGGTGTTATAGCCATTACGTCGTGGCGTTTCACATTTGCCCTGCTAATTCCCTAATATGCAGCTGACACCTTCCTATAATCAGCCTGACGCGGCCATTAAGGCGGTCTGTTAGTCGGATTGAGCGCCGTCCTGACCCGGAGCGCCGGCAACTTGTGCAACCGGATGCCAGCCGAAATTGGCGGCAATAATTCCAGTGTACCTTGATGACTCTGCGACATTATACGTGCCGACTCCTGCTGGGCAATCTAGCCGGCCAGAGGGCGCATTTAATACTCTCAGGTTTAAATGTCAGCTGGCTGTTTCAATGGTCGTTACATTAACTTCGGTGCCTAAATTGGCATTTTGCTGGTTAGTTGAGATAGATGGGAGTGAATGACCGGGACCACCAGAAAATACCGGGCTCATTTGATGTTTGTGTAGGAGGTGAAACATGCTAATGGGGATATCACAATGTCTGCATGGAAATGTTGACTGCCTGCCGCTGCAGCTGTTGCTTCTTTTGCGAAATTCATTTCGCATGAGCTCAATAAAGCTAATGTGTATGATCAGTCACGCGCAAACCACATTTATAGCAAAAACAAAACCATATCCCAGCCTGCTGCTCGCCAGGCTGCGTCTCCGCCCAGCGCTCTCTGTGCACCGGACCGCCGCGGTCCAACTTTGCTGTCCGTGACGTCATGGTCGTGGAACTTCACCTTCCTTTGACGTCACCATCCGTAAACCTGAACTTCACTCTCGCCTGACGTCAGCATCTGTGAATGGCTTCACAGACTTCATCATCTAGTGATTGTGAGTGGCGTCACGTACCTAACTTTGCCACCCCATAACGTCATACGTTAGCGTCATGATACATTAACGTCACCATCATGTACCGTCACCATCCCGTGACATCACCGTCCGCGCTCGGTCATCCTCCCGGTGACCCAGGGTGTCTGTATCAGTGCCGGTGGCGCGTGGGCGGCCAGACCGTCGGTCACGGTCGAACCGAGCTCACGGCGCCGCCCATGCATGCCGCTTCCATCCGGCGCCGGCCGGGCCGCGATATTGGGGACACCGCGTGCTCCCGTCGGTGGTAGGCTGCCCGTAGACCGAGTTCGGGGAACTTGCGCTGATTCAAAGGACGATTATAGCCCGAACGCCGGCGGGTTTGATATGTGAGCGTCCGTTCAAAGCAAATTCTGAACGGGGGCTGAGGAACTGGATGTTGAAATGTGGCTGCCAAAGTCCGGTGCTGGGGAAGTGGTGTAGTTACAACAGACTGTTTAGTTTGTCATTCATTTAATATACCCTGGGTTTGTAAAGCCTCATGTACTGCTTCATCCGATTAAACACGCCTTTCGCAATAGATATCGTACTGGTTGCGATTGGCTGGTCACTAAAGGCGGTTTTGCGTTAATGCATACTTCAAGTATCAGACGCCTTAGGGAATTAATTACTTGCGAAGGGCTTCACCGTATTTCATCAACCCTGCAAACTTCGTTTCCTTACAATTTCCTAAGCAATTTAGTGCAAACTTTGTTCAATTGAAGTTGTTTTTGTTTTCCGCTCAATGGAACGGGAAGTACAAAGTTTTGTCAACTTGAGACGCTGCGGGAGGCGCAATTGCTCCCGGTCTCAATCCCTCTGGATCTGCCTGTAAGAAGGCACTAATGCATCGATGACGTTAATCTGAACACACTGGGTACAACAGGTCTAGAAAGTTTATTTAGCATTAGTCTCGTAACACCAGTGTCTATTGTCTTCATTCCAGGCGTTGGCGCGGACGACACGTTCATATTCTGCAAGGTGTGGGACCGCTGCAAGTCGGACAAGAACGCCGGCACGCTGGCCAAGCTGGTGGGTGACTCTCTGCGGCAGGCGGCGCTGAGCATGCTGGTCACCTCGCTGACAACGGCTGCGGCCTTCTTCAGCAGCTGCGTCAGCCACGTCACCGCCATCGCCTGCTTCAGGTAGGGAATGATGGAGGAACTGATTGCGTCAGTGGTAGTATACTCACATAGCGTCACCGGTGACCTTCCGGTAGCATATTGTGTGACTGCTGACTGTGACTGCTAACTGCGTTAAGTACCTAGAATATGGTGTAGGCGCATAATTCTCTAGGTAGGATATGAGCAGGATTGTAACTTGCAAGGGCTACTATCTCCTTTTCTTTGGATTCCTTGTCCTGCCCTCCAGCTCAGGTATGATATGACGGCGCTACTTTCGAAGGCGCTATAAGTTTCAGTAAGGGAAAACTTCAATGTCGCCCCTGACTAGTACAGGCTGGGTAAGGTAGCCTATGGTGTCTATATACTGCCTAATCCAGCCTGGGTACGACAAGTGTCCCCTGTGACCCCTGCCTCAGCTAGTTGATGTGACGTCAACGCCTTCATCTTCCCAACTGAGATGCACCGCCGACAGAGACATTGGGCCCTTTATAAGCTCATGCTGGGAGCTGTGACGTGCAGTCGATTTATGGACTTCAATTTCCACCGTGATGTGCCGACGTGCCTCGGGTAGCTGGCAGTTCGGACGTCCGTTTGTTGTCCGAACTTACAATCGTGACATTATCAACTCGGGACTGGATTGTAACTTAGTAGAAATTCCGGACGGCGCTGTCGGGAGAGCTGCGATCGAGACGTTACGTGTTTTGTGGTTACTTACGTCGCCAGTATGACGTCATGTTCTGTTATTTATATTTACGTCACCGATGTGCCCTTGCCGACAGCATCTTCTCCGGCATGACGATCCTCATCAACCTGGTGCTGATGGTGACGTGGACGCCCGGGTTCGTGGTGATGCGCGAGCGGTTCTGCCAGTGGTGTCCTCCGCTGCCGCTGGGCGCCGGCGGACCGCTGTCGGCCGGCCGACCGTGCCCGCCGCGCCGACGCTGCGGTGAGCTGGGCCGCGTGCTGTTCGACAAGCTGCTGCCCTGCGTGGTGGTGAAGCTGCGCTGGCTGTGGCTGGTGGTGCTGGCCGCGCTGGCGGTGGCCGCCGCGCTGGTGGTCTGCTACCAGCCGCGGCTGCGCCTGCCCGAGTCGCAGCAGTTCGCGCTGTTCCGCTCGAGCCACCTGTTTGAGCGCTACGACGCGCTGCTGGCGCAGTGGTTCTGGTTTGAGCGCGGCTCGCAGGCGCAGCTGGAGCGCCGCCTGCCGCTGCGCTTCGTCTGGGGCGTGCTGCCGCTGGACGGCGGGGACCGACTCAACCCGGCCGATCGGGGCACGCTCCGACTCGACCGGCGCTTCCAGATGGAGTCCGCCGAGTCACAGCGGTGGCTGCTCCAGTTCTGCCGCGAGCTGCGCCAGCAGGGCTTCTACCAGTCCACCCAGGGACCCCTGCTCTCCAACTGCTTCATCGAGACGTTCAAGGACTGGATGGAGGGCCGTCAGTGCGTGGATGAGATCACTGGGGAGGATCGGGAGCCCTGCTGCCGGTCGGCGCTCTTCCCCTACCCGGAGGCCGTGTTCACAGAGTGTCTCGTCCGCGCCGTGCGTAGCCTCCACAACACCCCCGCGCAGTTCTTCGAGGCCGGACCGGCCGGACCCAAGTTCCTGAAGAGCACCGGCCGGGTGGCGGCTGTTGTTGTGGAGTACGACAGTAACTACACCTTCTCACTCGCACACGATGAGATGCATGAGTTCGTTACAGCTGTCGAGACGTGGACTGTCGAGCAGATGCGTTCGGCGCCGCCCGAAATGGCTGGAGGATGGTTCATCAGTTTCACCGACTTCTACGACTTGCAGACCGCGCTGGCGGACGGCACTCTTCTGGCGATCGGCGTGGCCGTCGGACTCGCCTTCCTTGTCCTCATGCTCACCACACTCGACCTCCGCGTCAGTCTGTTCGCCGCTGTGACGGTGGCGTGCGTCATCTTTGTCACAGTGGCGGCGCTGGTGCTGCTCGGCTGGCGTCTGAACGTGCTGGAGGCCGTGGCTGTTACAGTAGCCATAGGACTCTCCGTGGACTTCACGCTGCACTACAGCGTGGCGTACCGAGCCGGCGAGCAGCCTGACCGAGAGGCCCGCGTGGTGCACGCGCTGTCTTCCGTGGGCTCGCCGATTGCCATGGCGGCTCTGACTACTCTGCTGGCGGGGGTATGTATGCTCCCCAGTCAGGTGCTGGCCTACCTACAGATCGGTGTGTTTCTGATCGTACTGACGGCTGTCAGTTGGACGTACGCCACTCTGTTCTTCCTTCCCCTGCTGCGTGTCTGGGGCCCGGAGCGGGCGTGCGGTCCGTGCCAGGGCGGTGCGGTGGCCTTCTGTGAGCGCAGCGCTCCGCGAGCCGACAAGGCTGTCTACAACTACACGGTCAGTGAATCCACCCTCAGCACGTCCAGTAACGCGTTCCTGCACCCGGCGGCTGGAGAGACGTACGAGCTGGAGCCGCTGACTCCGGGCCAGCGGCGGCGGCCGTGGCGGGTCAGCCAGCCGGACCTGCGGCAGCGCTCTGCCTCCGTGGGGGACGCGGCGGCGCCCGGGCCCCCGGCGGCGGCCACCCCGGGCGCGCGCAAAAAGTCGCTGCCGTCGCTGACTCTGGAGGGCGGCGCGCGGCGCTGGGCGGCCGCCGGCAGTGCCACCACGGTGGTACTCTGTGAGGACACGGGAGATGTGGAGCCGAACCGGTGCCCCGGCGTACCCGACGTGTGGGTGAGACGCACGTGACAGCCGGCCAGCGCGGCCAACGGGACGGCCGCCGGGGCAGCGGGCGACGGGCAGAGGGAGAGAGCGCCACACCGGGAGCACCGGGAGGCGGCCGGGGGAGGGCCGGGGAGGGGGACGGCGGCGGACAGGCTGGGACGCAGAGCGCGCTCCCGAGCGGTGACCGTGGAGGTGAATTCTGTCAAGGTGCGGCCGGCGCAGAGGAACTGTCAGTGTCTCTGCGTGGTGGAGAGGCGGTAGCGCCGCCGGCGGGGCCTGATCAGGGGGGGGGGGGGGACTTGATAGCTGTGATCTAGCTGGATTCGTTTTCAATGAGGGGTTCTGTGAGTGTACTTTGACCTGATTGTGGTGACGTTTTACGCTGATGCTTTAGAAGTCAATCTATTTGATGGATTGTATGTAGTCGACTTTACTCATTTTTTATCATTTGTGGGCAGCTTTTCTGCAATCTATTGAGGCAGCTTATACTATATTGACCTGATCTGTACCTATGTACTTAACTGATTGGTGTTTATTTTTACCAAACACGGTTGATGTGCCAACGCTCAAAAGAGTTGCCATATGGTTTGTATTTTTCATGTTACACCACGGGGGCTCTTCAATCGTGTTATTTGGGCCGAGGCTTCCATCTGATTGTTGAGCCGCAAAATCATAGAATTGTGGCCAGTGTGTTGATATTGAGCGATATTGGGCTCCGACCGAATTATTGTATTATCGATTTTTATTCCTTGGAGCCAACTTCCGTACGTGTCAAGCTTCAACTCATGGATGTCGTGCCAAGCCCGATTTTTTCCGATAATACTCAGCCTACCGACGTGGCCCGTTTTTGTCATTGTTCCCCGTTCCTTACGCTGTATTCGGAGCCTTCCGCGTCGCCCGTCGGACACGAGCTCGAACGGCCCGGGTGAGGTGCTTGGGACGCCGGTGGGTAATCAAGTGTGTGGACCGTGTCCGGCTGCGAATCTTGACATTCCTGTTCCGTTTTGAACAATATACATACCTTTTGTAACGTTCTGTTTCTAGACCGAGATTCGGAAGTGCGGAATTGCGTTTACACAGGGTCATAAAAACTTAAGGACTCGAACATTTGCTTTTTCCAGCAGACAACAGAACGCCTTACCACGGGTCATTTCATGGACTTGGCTACACTTTTACATCATGTCATATTTACCCCTCCTTGCGGTATTCAAACGAGCAGAATGACGGGCACGGCAGATAGCGCGCAGTAAGCGCACAGTTCAGTTAGTGCTGTGTCGCCTGTGGTATTCGCTTCAAATGAAGGACTCTGGCGTTTCCCACAGGACTGATAAGTCACTGATGCGATGAACGTCTTTCAAGCTACATTTACTGCCTTCTTTGGAGTTTTGACCCCAGATGAAGGCTGTATGAAGGTCTGCCATCAAAGCAAAGGAGGCACAGAGCGGAAATTTTCCATTTCTGCAGTTGCTTTTACTGAAAACATCAGAGACGCGCTGTGCGAAAACAAAGTCGTTGGTTTCCTTGCGTTATTTGAAAACTACCTTGGACTCGCATACAGACTGTTATTGCATTTCCTAAGACATCTGAGAACGCAGCTGGGTCTCTGACGGGGCTGCTGTCACGCCCCGACAGGTCCATTACCGGACGTTTTGTCCTCTGCAGTCGGCCACTGCGAACACGCTAACTTTGGACAGGCCTTGGATCGCTTTACATTCGTTTATAAATCTGAGGCTCCTTGGACCATCGCCCGGTAATTATCTTTTCATGGACGCACGTCTTCATATGAAGAAGCTGCGCCTTCAATTACCGGCAGGAAGAGCGCAACGTATTCAACAGAGACCCTCAATTTGCCGAGCAGTAGTCTTCGTGGAACGGGAGCACGACGGTCGCTTCTGGTAACGATTGGAGGCCATCTTGCCGGCGGTAACTAGCTTCTTGGTCATGCCTGCAATCTACCATGACTCATTGAAGGGCAGTATTCGCCCCATTCAGTACTTACTCGCATTCTCTCGAAAGTCAAAACACTACGACACAGCTCCCAAGGCTCGGTACCACGCCACGCGCCCTGTTCCATACGCCCATGGACCGCACAATGCGAGACTTGACATTGCTAACGTGTATTTCAGCATCCAAAAAACGATCCGCCGTCGAAAAGCGTAGGTCCTCGTGGCATGTGGCCCGGGCTATTCTCCCTGCGGCTCGTAAGCACAGCTAAGAGTGCGCTGCGACCGGCTCGCCGAGCTTTGCGACGCCAAAACGCCACCACACACTCCACTACAACACATCACAAACACAAGAATGAACGGCGCGCGGCACCGGCGCGCCCGCAGACAGTCAGAAGTCACGACGCTCGCGCGCGCCGCCGGTGCGGTACACGCTCACCCACTCTCACTCGCTCTCACTCAGTCTCTGACACTTCTCGTGCGGCTCAGTGAGGTACAAAACTAGCGCCGGTCGCCACCGTCAGGCGTCTATATACTTGGCAAAAGCGAGCACGGAGTGGTGCTGGAACCGTCCCGGCGCGCCGGGACGCACTCGCATCGTCACTGCTCCGCGCTAAGACCACACATCCCTGATTCCAGCGTCCATGCTGCGCCGTTTAGACCGTCCGTTCGTCGCTCGCTGTCCCGCCGCGCGCGCCGCGCAGCGGGAGTTAGGTACAGTAGTGGTTTTGTTCGTCCCCGCCAGATGTCAGGGCTGGCGGGGCGCCGTCAGGTGCACTGGCCGCTGGCTCACCAGCAGAACAGCGATAGTTCGGCCGATGGCCGCCAGGTGGTGACCGATCGCATGCCCTCCTGCGGAGAGAGCCGCCATAATCAGTGAGTCATACTCACATGACACTGAACTGCACTGGGACGCACTACATGACAAATTGGGGGCAGCGCTGGTGAACATTGCACACATGGGAAACGTCACTTCCGGTATTCACAGCCGCGGGTGAACTGCAAGTGAGGATGAACACATACATATGACGCGCATAGCTTACATTACGCTTGGATGCTGCAACTACCTTTTTCAGAGCATGATGCAAACATTGTGTAACATTTCAAACGCATGATTGAAAACAGCCTTGACCATAAGACAACACACCTACCAGATAAGGTGCCAATCAAAAATGTGATTCAATGCTTATTCATCTTAAGCTATCTACAAACTGCACCAACACTTCCAATCAGTGAAGATAAAACACATTTATAATTCCCACTTCAAGGTAGCATACTACCCCATGGCAGCATTTGCTTGAACCTAACGGAGGCACTGTTAGGGGCGGTAGAGTTTACAGATAAAGAAACAGCCACGGATAGTCCGTATTTTACCCCGTCCCGGTTCGACAACCACAGCCCGTGGGCAGAGGGAGACTCTGAGAGCCTGGGAGTCCCGGCAGCTGTACCGAGAAACACGTGTTGGACTGACGGCGGCAGGCGAGTCACCGTGATATTATGGTCGGAACGGTGTGAGGGAGGCAGGCGTGATGGTTAACGATAGCATGATAGCAAACATTGCTAGCTATTTATGTCGTAAACATGGCGATACACGGGATATTCCCCATAAAACTATATCATGAAGCAGCCGCAAACCTGATATTGACGCCCATCAAATGCCTATCATTTGAATAAATCATAAACTATCGCTAGCTATATCGATCGTGGAGCTTCATCATGTGTAGGGGAACACCCGTATTCGTGTACGGCACCGCCACAGGCTGCTCCTTTCCCACCGGAGCTCATAAGTCAGTCCAACGGTCCGGATCACTGTGCAAATGTAGGTGCATACATCGGGCGGGAATCGGCCGGGCAGCTGTCGCCTGTCGCCCGGGACCTGCACCGGTCCCGCTAGCAGTCGAGCCGCGGTCACGTGGTCACGTGGGACCTCCTAGAACTCGGGCCGCGAGGCGTGCAGAGCTGCGCACAGCGCGGACCTCTGCACGGCTGAGGGGACTCGCACCCACATGGACAGGATGAGCAGGCGAGAGAGGGTGACGGAGTTAGGGGTGATTCCGAGAACTGTTGGCTCGACACACACCGGAAAAGGAGTTGATAGTTGCACGGGTCGAACGACGCGAATGGAACATTGCGATACTCAAAAGGTTCGATTTGGTGGTGAGCTGCGGTGATTTATATAGAAATAGAATCCCAATGCTTGGAAGCACAGTATAATGGAAATAAAAGAATAGAAATAGAAGGGAATCGGCCCAATCAAGATTCTAGCTTGTAATAAACGGCGGCGTATCATCGTAATGAAGCTACAAATCGGACTAAGCAATCCTCTCAAATTCCTCATAGCATCAGATCAAGCGCACTGGATACGCAAAACTCGCTGCAACAAAAACTCCAACAACCACATCCATGACCTCACCCATAACACATCCCCACACCGAGCCCACCCGACCAGTCAAACGCACCTGTTGCATCTTCTCAAAGTCGAGACAGGGCCGCTGCGCCCCCAGCGGGCCCAGACCGCGTCGCCGCTTCCTGCCGCGGGTGGACGGCGTGGTGGGCGGCGGTGGCGGGGGCGGGGGCGGCGCGGCGGCCGCCCGGCGCGGCGGCGGGCTGGTGCGTCCCGGCCGGTGCGCGCCCGCCGGCGGCGACGAGCGGAACTGGACGGGCGCCGGCGAGGTGGGCTCGGCGGGCGGGGCCATCTCCTCGTCCGAGCTGCAGCTCGAGTCGCGAGACGTGCGCTTCACCTGCCGGACAGAGAAGAGCCGTTGGACTAGTCTCAAGGCTGAAACAGACTCTTTCCGCGTTCAGGAAATCGCATGCGAGAGCCTATTCAAATACATTATAATTCTTCTCGCATCAATCGCATCCGGGAGGTGCGTGCGATTGATGCGAGCGTGCTTCCATGTATTTGAATAGGCTCTCGCATGCGATTTCCTGACTGCGGAAAGAGTCTGTTTCAGGCATCAGCCAGCGGGACTGACCAGCACAACGGGGACAGGAGGCGGGGCCGGGGCAGCGGGGACGCTGACTGATGTTATGACAAACTGTGTACTTTTGCGTACATACGTTTCAATATAAACCATAGCGCCACTACCTGGTAGCGTTTGGGAGCGGCGTGCCTTGAAACAGGGCCCAGCCATTAGGATAGACAAAGGGGTAATGTGAGGAGGCAGTGGCAGTGCACAGTCGACCTACAGGCGGCGAGCAGTCAGGCAACGAGATATGCTGGGGGCCGAGAGAAGGCAGCGGGGACGGGGGCGGGCGATTCAGGGAACTCTGCCACGGAGAGCCGACTGACGAGTGACAGGGAGCCGCAGCACCCCACGGACGGGTGTCAGCGGTCGGCGGACGGATAGCGCGGCGGGGTGACACTCGGCGGGAGGAATAACGGTACGCCCTTCAACCCAACCGCACGGCTCGCTGCCAGAGCAAGGATACGGAGACGGACGGACGGGAGAATCACGGGAAATGGCGATGCATATTATGGAAACACTGATCACATACGTGAACCGTGCTCAAACCGGTGTTATGTAAGTGCAGGGAAAGCTGATAGACCGGTGGAGGTCCTGAATTTAAATGGCCGTTTTCGTACTTATGCATGCATTACCTGCAACATAAGCACTCTCGTGTAGTACTCAATAAAAGGGCGAGGACACTTGCTCCTTACCTGAATGCTGTTACAATGGTTTTGAGAATTCTTCAAGTCCTATGTATCATGTATGTTATTACTTTCCGTAATATTTCACGATGTTTTGCTAACTGAACTACGGAACGACCTTAGCATAACGATTACCTCCAAAATACCGCAACCACGCATGATGCGACAAATTTGTTTAGCGAGCCCGACATCTAGGGTCCACAGGCTGGCGGGTTAACCCGCGACCGCCTGGGGGGGTCGGATCCGACCCCCCCTCCGTTTTTCTTGAATAACTCATGAACCACATTCGCTATCTACTTGAAACTTGGCATACCTTCTCCCCCATCAATTTGACGTCTCCTGTGCAATTTTGAAGAAAAAATTTCCAAATTTTTTTAGATATATCGATTTTAGTGATGTAACTACATGGCGTTTTTAGTCAAAAAGTGGTAAATGTTTAAAAAATCGCCAAAAATCAGGGTTTTAAGCAAATTGCAAATTAAGGACATGAAAAGACGCAGATCAACGAGTTCTTTAAAATGGCTATCTCCGATTTTCCATAAAATGCGTTTTTCACCCCTAAAATTTCAAAAACTATATTTTTTGGAAAACAGCTAATAAAATCCAAAATTTTGGGAATTTCCAAAATACAGGAATATATGTTGTAGAGCTCTATTAGAACATTAGATGCCCCAAATTTCAACTTTCTATCTTGATTTTTGACCCCCAAATTGTAAAAAATAGCTCCAACATGCATAGGGCATGGTGACGTCATAAGCATTTTCGTGAATTAGAGGCACTTCTGAACATCGCATATGAAAACAAATGGCACCACTAGATTCCTGGGACAAAGCTCGTCTAGAAAAGTGTATTTTTATGTCAAAAATAAAAAGTTGAAAAAATGACTTTTTTTCTTAGCCCTCGTTTAGTTATGTATGGTATAAACGATTTTTTATGCTTTCAATGCACACTTATCACCAGCACAGTGACTTGGGGTCACATATAACCATTACCATCGAATTCGGCGTGAAAAATAAGCCATAAAACATGTGTCGCACGCCCATGTATCAGAAATTGAAAACCGTGACCTTTCGTGACCTGACCTGACCTTGACCCGTGCTAAGTATGACCCCTATACGCACATGGTACCTTCACTAGGCCTTTGAGGTCATTTTTGGTGAGTTTCGAGTAGCAGCTATCGATTCCGCTGTCCGTAAGCCTAATCATGCAAAACCCCTGAATTTGACCTTTGACCTGACCTTGACCCGAAAGTTGACCTCAATCTTAAAATCTTAAGAGTGCTTTGGGAAGGTCTCGTAGAGACCTTTCGAACGCCGCCTCGCGGGGCTCGATACGACCATTGGTTCTCGAGATAACAGGGGGGGGGGTCGGATCCGACCCCCCCCCCCCAGGCTGTCGTGGGTACGGAAATAGCCCAGGCGGTGCCGGGTTAAGTCCAGTCCATGGCCAACGCCTTCAAATGGCCGCCACAACTGCAATCCACAATTACCATTTCCTAGCATTCTAATAGAATTACGCCTTAAACAATGCAGTCAGGCGATCAGAAGGGTGTATCTAACGTGTCGTCAAATGGGTCAGGCATGCAAGACGCATGTAAACATTCAACCGGATGACGATAGCCCCACGACGGTAGAAATGGGACGTCCCTTGCAGGGGAGAAGTTACATAACGATTGTAATCCCGCGTGTACAAAACAACTCAGAACATCGCAGTCCAAACGGATTAGGATTACAGAATGACGACGTCAAACATTCATTTCCAAGTATCCATTACCATCCATTTTACCTAAGCAGCTTCATAACTCCAAGAAGTAACAAGCAGATGCAGATATTTGACAGCATTCAGCAAGCCCTTCGTGATTAAACGTGCATTTGAAGCGCCGCCATCGTAAGGATTCGGGTATACGTCGGGTTCACACTGGGTGGAGCAGCCCCACGAGCTATTGACAAACGAACTGAACTGGCGTCAAATCGTAAACTGGAAGTTCATAAACAGGCGCCAGCTGTTCAGCGTCACATAGTCGCAGAGTCACCCTATCATAGCGTCAACTCACAGCCCACATCAGCTGACGTCAATCGATACTGAGTCAGGGAAAACAGTGGCTGCCGACAGCCGGTGGCGGACCAGTTGCGGTTTCATATCGACAACCTAGGGTGTATGCGTGGATGCAGTCCTAACCGAAGCTGATTTTACCGTTATGTATTGCTTACATCGTGATGGATTAACGAACTATTCATCAATTATCCGCTTAACAATCATAGGATGAGATCTTGTTTTTATGGAGCAGCTTGACTTCGATTCCTTTTTTTGTATCTCCCAGTCCCTAGATTACATGTGGCTGTATAAATTTATAAAAAAAAGTACTCCTGGGCTGTTAGACGGAAATGGCAGACTAAAAGCGTTTCACGAACGTCGCACCATTTATCACGTCACGAAACGATAATGATCAGATAAGGCAATAAAGCAGCCACTCTCCACCTAAAAATAGACATAGCACCAGCCACCCGACCAAACTAACAGCCGCCATTGTTTCTCGTCGAAATGTCAAGTCCGGGGAGTGAATGTTGATACCGACATTAGCACCGTTACCAGTACCACCGGCCACGTCACGACTGGTCAGAATTGGGATATCCCCGGTCGTAAACTGGTTCTCTAACCCCCCCCCCCCCCCCCACAGGCCACCATGGAACATTCGCGCAAGCAAACCATCTATGGACCACTTCCCTTCTCTCCCAAGTATGAGAGAGGTCGGGAATTTGATCTAATCGAAGGGAGGGCATCCCCTAGTATGTGAGAGTCCGAAATATTATGATGATGATTTTGGGGGGGGGGGCGCCCGGACTAGAGTGATCATCGGTGCCCACCGAAATATTAGCAGTGGACGGCTGGATCCAGTCACGAGAGGACAATCTACTACAAAAGGTCTGTGGGATGACCAGTGAGGTTTGGTCCCCACTTAGGGGGGATATGCCATCTTTTTCGGTCTACGCGAGTCCAGCGGGCATCCGATAGCGGATCTGTCTGTGTCACAGGCCACCCAATTTTACTGTCTGACTTTGCCTGTCATTGGGTGTAAGCACGTTATTAACATTTAAATAAACAATCAAACAAGCCCACCTGGCACCATTTGCGTTTCTCTCGCTCGCGGCAGTTGAAGCCCTCGAGCTCCTCCTCGGAGCTGTGGTGCGCCTCTGTCTCCAGCTCTGTGTCCGAGCTGAGGGCCGGTGAGGGCCGGCCGGGCCCGCTGGAGGCCGGCGGCAGCGCGCCCCCGGCGGCGCCGCCGGCACACAACGCCTCCTCACTCTCCATCCTCCCCCGCTGACCGCGCCTGGGGGAGGGGGTCAGGGGTCAGGGTCACAGGGGCCAGGGCAGCTGTCAGGGTCACACACCTCCTCCTCGCTCTCCATCCTCCACCGCTGACCGCGCCTGGGGGAGGGGGGCAGCTGTCAGGGTCACAGGGCAGCCAGCAAGGTCACTGCACGACCTTCAGGCCTCAGGGTAACAGCACAGCCATCAAGGTCACCGGGCAAGGTCACAATGTAAGGGTCACAGGGCAGGGTGGCAGATCAGTCAGGGTCACAGGTCAGAGTCAGGGGCGCAGGTGTCAGGGTCACAGGTGTTGTGGTCACAGGTGTTAGGGCACAGGTGATAGGGTCACAGGTGTTAGGGTCACAGGTGTTAGGGCACAGGTGATAGGGTCACAGGTGTTAGGGCACAGGTGATAGGGTCACAGGTGATAGGGTCACAGGTGATAGGGTCACAGGTGATAGGGTCACAGGTGATAGGGTCACAGGTGATAGGGTCACAGGTGATAGGGTCACAGGTGATAGGGTCACAGGTGATAGGGTCACAGGTGATAGGGTCCCAGGTGATAGGGTCCCAGGTGATAGGGTCACAGGTGTTTAGGTCACAGGTGTTAGGGTCACAGATGTTAGGGTCATATGTGCTAGGGTCACAGATGTCAGGGTCAAGGACAAGGTGTTAAGATCACAGGTATTTAGGGTAACAGGCATCAGGGTCACAAGTGTTACAATCACAGGTGTTCATGATCACAGGTGTTATGGCTGCAGGTTAGGCAGGTCAAGGTCAAAGATCATGATAGCAGGCAAGTCATTGACAACATGAAGACACATGTTGTGCTTAGTGCTTACAGATAAAAAGACAGGAGCACTAAGGTCAGACTAAGGTCAAGGGTCAGAACAACATGAAGGGTTTCAAACCAATGGGATGACACTACAGGAAACAGCCATCAAAGGACCTCCTCATGAGCTAGATATCAAAGGGTTTTCTTAAACAGCAGTCACAAGGGAACCAGAAGTGAGTGGTCTGGACAGCACAAAAAAAATTAAAAAGACTGGTTAGAGACCAGAGGTAATACCTATCAGAATGGTTCAAGAAAACTTATTAGGGGAGGTAACTGACACTGGTTTGGAGATGAGTTGGGAATTCTGATCAGAATGGGCTAAAACATTGGTCAGTGCCCAGTGGTCACAGGCACAATGTGTTTCAAATCACTACTGGTCAGAGGAGGTTTCAGGTTAGGAAACAATGGTCAATATCAGTTAGGTACATTGGACAGTGGTTGGGGTCAGCTAGGAACACTGGACAGGATGGGTTAGAAACAGTGGTTAGTGGTCAGGGTTAGTTAGGAACAATGTATAGGTTAGAAACATGATTCTGTACAGGTTAGGACAAAAGTCAGGGCACACAGAGTTAGCTTGGGATACTGAAGAGGATGAGTGAGGAACACAGTTCAGGCCAAGTTAGGATAACTGATTAGTGGTCAGGGTTAATTAGGAAAAATGGATAGGTGAGAAACATGGGTCAGGCAGGTTAGAAACAACTGGTAAGAATGGGTTAGGAGCACTGAACAGGTTGAGTGAAGAACATAAATCCGGGCAGGTAAGGGAACATTGGTTGGAATGGGTTAGAAGCACAGGTCATGATTGGTTAGGAAATAGGAATGGTGGTTAGGATTTAATAGAAGTTAGGTATTAGGTAATAGGTACTCAGGTGATACTAGACTCAGGAGTCCTCCAGTACCCACACCCAGTCAAAAACTCTGTGGGTAGCTATCATGATATCAACAGAAGCTTGATATCTCTGCTTGATGCCTGCAGTACCTAAGAGATTAATGTCATGGACCAGCCTATGCCTAGACAGGCAACTTCCCAGATTAATAGACCATTGAAACTGTCTAATATCTTTACTAAAATCCAAAAGAAACTAAGACCATCAGCTGCACAACAGCTGGATCTCATGGGCTTAAGGTAAGCTCAAATTAAATTACCTCATGATGAATAGCTCAAAGTAAAGGGTAATTATTTTTAACAAATGAAGATGAAAAATATAACTAAGCCTTATAATGATTGATCTATTGACAGGTTAAACTAAACCATTTAGTATTCATTTTGCTCACAATTAACCTAAAAAGGTGGTTAGCATATGTATAATAATCAATAAAAAATGCCTGGGAAAAGTTGGAGCTGAATGTTGGAGCTGGCACATGGAAAGTTACCTGTATGTCATAAAACAAAGCAAATGGCCAGCATTTAACATATTATATGGATTTTTCAGTGATAAAAAGTAAATTTTAGGCCATTGGATGGTTCAACATTGAAAAGCAGACAAAATACCTTTATAAATACAGCATGCCAGCACTACTGCCTCAGGTCAGGGAGGCAATTAATTATGGGGCATGGACCAAGAACAAAGGAAAGTACTGCTGTTTCACTGAATACAGGCATAACAAGCACATAAAATGAAAGGAAATTCACAGGACTGCATATGGTACCAAAATCAACCTCCAACGCAAGATAAAAAAGGCTTAAAACGCCTACTAACTATGGGGCGGCTTTCTCAAGGTCAACTTTACGCACGGAAAACCGCCCGAGTACGCCGCACTTGAATGAATGAATTTGGTCGCCCAACAGATATCTAACGCAGCGAGACATGGAACAGAACAAGCTAAAGTTATGAATTTTATGAAAGAGTGTTTCACATACCTTCCGTTCCTCAGAGGGTCCTAGTCTCGCCGCGCTCCGTCGCTAAATGACCGCTCGCGCACCGCATGCGGCTCTGCGGCTCCGACGATTCCACTTGTGTGCGGTTATTCCTCTTCTTTTTGGTGCCCCAGAAACGGGCGCCGCTGATTATTACCGTATAGGCGTAGAACTGGGCCGTTGAACAATTCTAATATCGCATCTTTTTCGTTCACTGATTCAGCCTGAATGTAGCTACTATAGTGTAAGCTATGAACTTCCCAATAAATAGCCACACATCACCACCCCACCAGTATAGACCTTCAGGTCGAGCCGCGGCTTCCACACCTCAGAGTACCCGAGACTGAGCAATGAGCCACAGTCAGGAACAGGAACAGTTTTCAAGCACCAATTTCCTTGGACAATGAATACATTGCACCACTGCGTGCTTACTAGGGTGGGCATCAGCCCTTCTTTTGGCCCGTACCTGCAGCTGCGACGTGATCTCGGAAAACGTCCTAGGCCTACGGTCAGCCAGTCAAGACCAAATGGACAAGACCATACCAAATGGAGAAGTGAGCCGTGAGGGGAAGATGATGTTCAAAACAGGATCCTCTCGACACCATAGCGACGGTCAAATGACACTAAAGGCCATTCAAAACACCAGCAGACAGCAGCTAAACTTCAGAGGGAAACAGCAGCGGTGGACGACACAGCAGCGGTGGACGACACAGCAGAAACAAAACATGCTCACAGACAGAGCCAGTGTTAGACAAAGAAACAAAGCATGGTGACACCCACTGCCCTATACAGACATAAGAAAAACGCCCCTTATTACTACGGGCTTTTATTACCTCACGTAAAACAACGCAGGACACAAATTTTTCGGATACACTGATGTTGTCTGCGCTGCGGCTGCGCGGGAGCGACATACAAACAGACTAAAACCGGCCGGCCGGGCCGAAAACGAACCCAACCCGGTATCGGAACCGAACGCCACGCGACACACGCTAAAATAGCACTACCACTGAAGCAAAAAGCTAAATTATCGGCCACAAATCAGGTTTCACGGGTCCGGGGCGTGTTTAGCGGTCAGTAGGGTCTCCACTGGTGGACTGGTGTCTCCTCTGGGCTCCTCCCCCCACCCTCCCGGTCCGGCGCGCGCCGCTACTCTGCCGGCCGGCGCCTGTCCGCGGCGGCGGCAGCGGTCCCCGGCCCGCCGCGCCCACTACAGCACTGACACAGGACACTCGCGCGGCGCGGACACCGCCCGGCGCGCGGCGCCGCGCCTCGCGTACACACACACACACACACTCGCAACCAGCGCGCGATTAGTTCAACAACACTCAGAAGACGGGGGAGCGTCGCAGCAGAGGGCGCCACCGCCGTCCCACCTGCCGGCGACAGCGCGATCGGCCCGCCCGCCGGCGCCGCCCGGCACAGCGCTCCGGCCACCCAACACAAAAGCCCGCCCAGCAAACCTAGATTAAAATTTTGGCAAACAGAGGTCAGTGTCCGTGTGTCTGTATCTCCGTGTGTTTCGCTCTCTCTCGCTCACTGCGTGCCTATACATCAGGGCCGCCGTTTGGGCCAACCTATCAACAGGATAGCAGTAAAATAACGACTCTGGTCTCTGTTCGCCCCGACTGCGGCGAGCCCCGGCGCGGCGGCGGCGGCGGTCTCAGCGCGGCCGGCGCCGCTGCCGCCAGACGGCCGACAGCGCGCGCCGCGGACGGAAGAGGCTCGGTTGTGTGCTGTGCTGGTGTGCGGGGCCGGCGCCGGCCGCCTCGGCGGTCGGTCATTGCGGCCCGGCGCCCGACTGCTTTTTGGTCACTATCGACACCACGTCCTCGACGTACTTCCGCCTGGAACGGGCGCGGCAGTGTCAGCAACAAATACAACCAACCATCGGCGCTCGATAAGATACACGACCAAAAAACGAGCAAACGTACAAACAAAGACTCATGGGCTCTCGATGCAAGGAAGCATTCGAAAGAAATTAATGCAGGGGCAATCGACAAGTGAGAAGCATAAAGTAGCCATTGCACACAGCAAAGTTAGCTGTATCGTCACAGACCTGCATAGTGCATATATCATAGATTCGATGTATTGATGCGTATTTTATTGATAAAAGGTAAAATATATCAGCTCAAGTCTTTGAGTGCTATGTTTAAAAACGCAAACCACCGATCAGACGAGCAAACCCATCCTGGAACATCCCCACCCTCCCTTTCCCCTACGCTTCCCAAAACAGCCATGACGTCCTGTACCCCAAGTCCCGAGGCACCCCGCTCAGTCTCACATGGAGGCCAGTCCGCCGCCGTCGGGCAGGTCTGCGATCTTCTTGCTGTCCAGGAAGGTCATCAGCTCGGGCATACTGACCCGCGGCCCGTCGTCCTCCTCGTCGTGAGCGTCCTTTTCGTCCTCGTCCGCCGGACGCGGCGGCACCGGCTCCACGGCGCGCAGGTACTCTGCAGGGGACGAACGGGGCAGGTCAGGGCAGGGTCAGAACGCGGCGGAACCTGCTCCAAGCTGCGCGCAGGTACTCTGAGGGGACGAACGGGACAGGTCAGGTCAGGTCAGGGCACGGCAGGGCAGCGGCGACACTGGCTCCACGGCGCACAGATACTCTGCAGGGGACGAACAGAGCAGATGCGGGCAGGGTAGGTAAGGCAGGGCAACGGCAGGGGCAGGTGAAGGCAGAGCGAAAGCTTGGCAGAGCACAATGATTGCAGGTGGGTACCCTGGATAATGCTAGGTCAGACCAGCGCACACATCGACAAGACAAAATCCGTGGGTAACAGATCAGGTCAGCCTCAGAACACAAGGGCACAACTAGTGGAGTACTGGCAGTGGAAGAGTGAAAAATCGACAGTGTGCAGCAAAGTCAGTCGTTTACATCAGCCGATGCACCAGTTCTGAATTTAGCCATAACAGCGTCATCCGTTGCCATGGTAACCTGGAGGCTCAACAAAGGCAGCAGACCGTCGCTACGGACAATTAACCAATAAATATCGAGAACGGCTAGCGTCTAACGACTGCTGACGTCATCAATCAAAGACGGCGTGTCGTCAGCTCACGTGATGGCGGCCAGCCGCTCGGATCCGTTGTTGCTTCTAGTGGCGCAATCGAGACCTCACTGCAAAACGCTGCCTAGGTATGCATCACAGGGCACGGGTATGACCCACGGAGGAGTCATCGGGTTGTATCCTGTTACTTCTTATCACACGCTCTCGGTCACGCTCGTCACACTTTGTCATTATTCGTGACAATCTTTGGAACACAGCGGAAACCACATCCCGGCTACGCTGATAAGATCCCATCCGGAACGCATTTATCTAACCATTCTGATATCGAGACAAATAAAGAGCAACATAGTGATGCATCGCTACAACTCACGGTCTGTCGGATAAGGGCAACAAATGTCTTCATTCGTCAGCCCGGTATCCATATTCTGAGGCGGGACCGCGAATGCGACCTATCTCCATGGCAGCAGCGCAGAGAACAGCGGTAGGTTGGTGACCTCACCTCCCCACACCGTGTCGCCCAGTTACAGTGGGGGCGATGAGGGGCACAGGGGGCACCCCGGGCCCGGGCCACGAGGGCACAACACTGGTGGGCCGGTTACGGACGTGATCGGACGGGTAAGCTATCAGAGCCGTGTCAATCAAATGGTCTGGAGTGAAGAGCTGTCATCAATGATCGACTATTACAAACACTAGACAGTGATATGAATAGGTCGCGACATTGATGCTGGTTTGCTTCGACATCATGGTTAATAGAGCACAAACAAATATTGAACACACGTCGAAAGGTCTGAGTTGTTGATCGGTTAAAACTAACATGACACAAGTATGATGAAATCAAATAAAATTAAGTCCAGCACTACTCAGGTTGGCAGTAAGCCTGCCATACTGTCACTTACGGTCTACGATATAACTTTCAGACCCACCCAAAGACAACACCCGAGGCTAGCGTTAAATAACCGTTTGGGTGCGATCCAAACTACTGCAATTTCTATACCGTTTTGTCTTTCAAAACAAGAGATATAAGAGCCAACATTTCGCACTGGTTAACAGGTGTTCCAAATTGCTGGTTTTGGCCACAGTTGGTCACTCGGACAAAAAGCATTATAGGTCTGACGTAAAGATAACTTTAACTGTCCCTAATGCTGAGTAAATGACGAAATATCATCCGCGGTCGGACTGAGAACTTTTCATCAACATCGCCAATCGCCCATAGTCTGGTGACTCAGCGTCGCGATTATCCAGCTCCTGGCAGACATCGCATCAACCGTTTGGCACGGAATAAACACATCTCGACGGTTTATTACCGGTTATTTATCCGGTTATGAGGCACGCCGAGACAAAGTACAGGTTCTTTTTACGAGTATCCGTCCACCAGAGTTCGGAACATAGGTGATTGGAGGGGGGGGGGGGGGGTCGGTCGAAGGAGTTCGAAACATAGGTGATTGGAGGGGGGAAGGGGACGGTAGAAGGAATTCGACTTCGAGGCTATCTTACCCTATTGCATCGTGATCATTGTTTAGCATGTGTTTCCATCTTAGCAAAATAGTTATCAGCCCTATTATTCGTCTAAAATTCCCCCTAAAAAAAAAAATAAAGACCCTGGCAGCAAAACACAACACAATTCCCTAAAAAAGGACGGACAGCATCAATACTCAACAAAACGACAAAACGGCCATACCATTTTAAAGCACACGTATTTTAACATCCACCCCAACGGCTATTGGCCACTGCCTAACATACGCTCCCGAGCCCGCCGGGCACTCCAAACCTTTATCAAACCTTCACACCACATCATCTGCGCTACCGATCCCCAAAAGACCCCCACCCCCTCCGCCCACCGAGGGCCCACATGACTAACCTTCCACGTGTTTGGCGACGCTTTGTTTCATGGCCTCCTCTCGGGCCGCGGCCGCGGGG